TTTCAAGTTTTAGCAATCAGGCGCCCACCTGGATAACGAGGAAATACAGTTTCAAGTTTTGGTAATCAGGCGCCCACTTGGATAACGAGGGAATACAGTTTCAAGTTTTAGCAATCAGGCGTCCACCTGGATAACGAGGGAATACAGTTCAAATTTTGGAAATCAGACACCCACCTGGATAACGAGGGAATACAATTCAAATTGTTGGTAATCAGGCGCCCACTTGGATAACGAGGGAATACAATTCAAGTTTTGGAAATCAGGCACCCACCTGGAGAATGAGGGAACTCATTTTATACCAAAGTCAAGCTATTGGCAGGCGCCCACCTGGAGAACGAGGGAATTCATTTCAGAGTTGCTTCAATTCGCAAATTCAGGAAGCATCAGGAGCCCGCCTGAAGAACAGGGTCCATTTTTCAGTTGCATATTGAAGATCAAGTAGAGATTCACGGAAGATTCAAGACAAGAAGTAGATAGGATCTTTTATTTTTCTTTTACTTTTGCTGTAATTTTTCCCTTTTATTTTTGATATAATGGCAGAAACCGCAGACCGGAACCTCGACGACACTTCACTCGACTCTCCACCTCGGTACTCCATCGCTCTTCTCACTCCGAACTACACGTGTCCTGATTCCTTTATAGCAAAGGATATGTAGGTAGCTCAGATATCAGGGCTCGGTCACATTCTCTTTTCTCTAGTTTTTGTCTCTCTAAATAAGGGTCGGGTCAAAAAACATGTCTTGTTGTTCTTTGTCTGAAAATACTTTGTGTTTCCCGCAAAGAGGGGCAGCTGTAGACATGTAATTTTTGACCCACGCATTAGAATCACCTCTAATAGTCCTAGTATTTTTAGGATATTTATTTGAACTTATTTCTATAGGATTTTACTTTATTATTAAATTTAATTCTACTTTTAAAGCACAAGAAAATTGAAAAATATAAAAATAGTTTCATGTTTATTTTATTCTATTTAGTTTAGGTTATTATTATTTTTATGGCCATATATTTTTATTTTTACCATGATTTTCACTTTTATTTTGAATATAATAATTTATATAAAAAATATAATATATAAAATATAGTTTCATAGTATGATATATTTTACTTTAATTAATCATAATTAATTTTAAATCCTTTTGTAAAGAAAATGTTCAAGTTTTCTTAATTGGTAGATTTAAAAGGATTAAAGTCCCAAATTATAGGCCCAATTCGGATGTTAAAGAGGCCCAAATCTGGGCAGCCCAATCCCATAACCCTTTCAACCCAACCAACCCAATCTTCTGACCCACGAAACCCACCGACCCGCCCCGTTTTTAATTTTTAATCTCAGTCATTCATCCCTTTTGATCCAACGACCATGATTAATCCCCACACCCCCAAATATAAACCCAATATTTCCCAAAAAAATCCTAATCCTAAACCTAATCTCAAGACCAGCCGCAACCCCCATCGCTGCCCGCCTCCAAACTCGCCGGAACTCGCCCAAACCCGGCGAGTTCACCCACTAGTCACCCCATGGTCCCCCTCCTCTCTTCTCCTTCTTCCACGTAGCAATGATAACAAACTCAGGATATTCGCTAATGATTTCACCCAAATCGAATCTGCCTTCTCCCTCACGCGCTTTAGTTTGTTTGAACAAATATCGGATAAATGGGAGCAGTTGGATGTGAGTGAAAACCGATCCACGCCTTCCATTTTTTCGATTTTTGTTTTATGAAGATTTTCGGGATTTTTCAGTATTCTTGGAAGTTATTTTGAGAGATAATTTTTGAATTTCTTGGAGAAGAAGCAAGAAGAAGCTTCTAGGATCCCTATATATAGGGGACAGAAAAGGGGGAGAAAAAAATTGGAGTTTGTATTTGGAGTTTGATATTTTTTTACTCTCGTCATTTTTCTTATTGTTGATTCCAGAAAAAGATAAAAAAAGAAGAAAAATCCAGTTTTCTTTCTTGCTCGGAATTCTGTTTCAATACCAGAAAAATAAAAAAAAACCTTTGTTTCTTCATTTTTTTTCTTCTTTCATTTTCGATTTCTGTTTCAATTCACGGCATTTACTTGACGTTTGGGAGTTTGCTGTCTTCAGTTGCCGATTCGAGGTTCGACGGGGTCGAGTTCGTGGTTCTCGTTCTTGCCTTTTGGTTGCTGTTTCCCGTTCGATTTTGTGACTCAAAGTATTGTAGCTGACTCTCTTAATCCTTCGCGGCTAAGAAGAAACTTGAAATTTTCAGGTTCATCTCTTTGGTCATTCTATCTGCACTGTTTTATGGTGAATCAAGAATTGTAAAGGCCATTTAGGGATATTAACTTTGCATTTGTATTGTCGATCCTTATTAAAACCTATCCTAATTTATGGTTCTAGTATTTGCTTTCCTTAGTGATTCTATTCCCAAACATGAAATGTGCAGAAAGTTGTCTTTGGAAGTTATTTTTTTTTTTAATTTTTTTTTGAACAAGATGCTTATGACTGTTATCGTAGTTCCTTCTTTTGACACTAGAATAGCCTATTCCTCAGAATAAATAGGTAAACTGAGGCTCATAATCCTACTTTTAGTCACATCTTTTGGTATTTTTGAGATTGAGTTATTTTCCTGGAATTCCTTTTGGTTTAATCCATGACTAATTTTCTAATAAATAAGGCTTCAGAGGACTAAAGTGATATAAAAAGGGTTGGATAGTTATAATTATTTTCAATATCATGGTGCTACTTCTGGAATTCAGTAACCTTACTATAGGATTTTATTCACTTTCTTTATTATAAAAAAATCGACTACTTAGTTTCTTTTAGTTAGATTCCTATGGAGTGTTTGAGATTATGTGTCAGGTTTGTTATTTTAACAAAGGAAAAGAAAGGGAAAACGTGCTATATTTGAAGCTTCTGAAGTTTGCTTGAAAATTAGTTTGTGTATTTGGGTCTTCTACAATTGTTCGTATGTTAAGTTGTGAGTATTTAATCCTTTTAGATGCGGTTGAGTGTTATTATGATGCCAACATGTTAAGAGTTGCCTTAAGGTTAACTGCGACCATGATGTATCGGCAATTTATTTGTCCATGAACAATTGTTTATAATCTTATTAGTTGTTTGTTTCACTTGATTTATGCTTATCATGATGGGTCGTGGGACTTGGGGGTGCGACCAACCCATTAGCAATTAATTTATTTTATGCTTTAGGTATCGAGTTCGGCCGAATCAAGTGAAGAGCTAAAAACAAAACCTGAGCATGATTTAGAATTTTCTTTTATCTAGTTATTCCATTTGCTTCATTTTATTATATTATTCGCTAGGAGCATGCTTAGGCCGACAACATTTGGGTAGGCAAACTTTTAGGATGTTCTTGTTTTAGCTTCTTTCGGGGCAAGAGGTCGTTCCCTTAGTTAAATTTATTAGGGGAATACCCCGAAGGACTTGTATATGTTTTGTTCTGGGGTATGCCCCGAAGTATTTGTACTTGGAGATCGATTTTAGAACTCGTAGTATTTTATTTTTATTTATTTTTCTTTTATTAGGAGGGGGACGACCTCAAGCCCTTTTGTGTGTTTATTTTTCTATGTTTGTTTTTGCCTCAATTTGAATATCTTAAAAGCCAACTTGATCGAGTGCGTAACCGTACTAGTTACGGGACTTGGGGAGTGCCTAACACCTTCTCCCTGAGTCAAATGAACTCCCTTACCCAAATCTCTAGTGTGTATTTAGGTTTGAAATTCAAAGTGTTTTAAAGGAAAAATTATTTTTTTTAAAAAAAAACGGTGACCTGGCACACCGAAATCAATGTCAAGGAAAACTAGAATGTTCTCTTCTTTCTCTCTCTAGCTGCGATAAACAGTAGCGACACAACAGTTCACCGACCATAAATCCATATTTCGGCAGTGGAAATTCACCAAATTGGTCTCAAAAGAACCCCCTTCTCTTTGCAAACAATCCCCAGTTGGTTTCATCCTCAAATCAATAGCCAGTTTTTCCAAATCTTAATTTTCATTTCGCGATTACTGTAGCGATTACTGTAGCGCGCAGAAATTTTATTAAATTCATCTGCTTCTTCACGCCAATGGAGCCTTGAAAATCTTCATGAATTAATGTGAAGTTTACTGTAGATCGCAGGATTTGTGTTTTGAGCAGCCATGGCTTCCATCGTCTCTCCCCAGCTTCCAGTTGTGTGAGAGCCCAATCCAAATCGTAGTGAGCATATCCCCAACAACAAGATTCAACAAACTTACGCCTCTCAATTACTTACAAATAATTCTTCTTCAATCTCCACAAAACTGGTCTTAAAACCTGTTCAAATTGTTCATGGGGAACCTACAATTCAATTCACAATGGAGGAAAGACAAACTTTTGTTGTTGAAGAAGGACTGCATCAAGCAGTTGTGTTGAAGTTATCTCCAAGAGCGCCAGATTTGCAGGTTCTTAGAAGCTTACTGCCAAAAATACTAAGCATAAAAGGCCATTGCTTGATTGGTCATCTTGCCCCACGTCAACTACTGTTAAGATTGGATCAACCAGAGGATTTTGTCAACGCACGAGCCCGAGCAGTAAATTCTTTTTCGCACAGTGGCGAACAACATCAGTATAGGGTCTTCCCTTGGACAGTTGGATACAATCCTAAGGAAGAAACATCAAAGGCTGCAGTTTGGATTTCATTACCAAACTTGTCTCCAGAATTATTTGCTCGACAATCACTGTTGTCAATAGCTAATGCAGTGGGTAAACCAATCGCTATCGACAAAGCAACACAGGTGAAATCTCGACCTAGCACTGCTAGAGTTAAGGTTATTCTCGATCTCTTAGACAAACTGCCAACGCGTATACGTTTGCAGCATTTTGATAATGCATCTGGAAAGATTGTCGAGGTATTTCAAGAAGTAATATATGATAACCTCTCGGGTTATTGTATCTATTGTAAACGGCAAGGCCGCATAGAGGAGATGTGTCGACTGCTTTTAAAGAATAAGATCGCCGCCGCCGAAAATTTGGTCGATGACATGTCCAGTGTTGATAAATTAAAAGGAGATGCTAGGGACTTCCTTAATGCTAAAAGATCTGGCCAGTCAGTGGACGATATTGCAAAAGAAGTTGGCAACTGTAATGTGACTGAAACAGCTAATGGAGAATTAAATAAGGCTAATGCTGGCCAACAGAGATCTGCTGAAGGAATTTCTGATGATAATCGAACAGGATCAAAGGTTGTTAATGGTCAAGCTAACATAATGGAAACTGTAACAGGGGCATTGCAAGATGCTACTGATCATGAAAAGCAGACTGTCAATGTAGAGGCTAAATTTCCAAATGCTCAAGCTAAAAGGGAGCAGGGATTTGAGCAGGGGACTTTGGCTCAGGGAACTGCTGTTGCACCTGTTAAACCAGTGGACAAAGCAGCAGTAGAATGTGCTG